GAGAGTGGAGTGAGGGAGGAGGAGGAGGAGGAGCTTGGGCATTTTTTTAGCTTCAAGAGCCTCCTTTTATCACTGTCATTGTCATCATCATCATCATTGCAATTAAAAGCTCACATTTATTGAACACCTACTGTGTCCCAGGCACTGTGCTAAGTCTTTTTCATGTATCCCATCATTAACCCTCACCTATGAACCTTAAGCCTACATAAATAGTATGCTTATCTCTATTTTACAGATTAAGAAACTGAGGCTCAATCAGGGTAAGTGACTCACCTAAAGTAGAGCCCGCATGTGGACCCAGCGCTGTCTGACACCCTGCCTTTGGTATGGGACTTCTAACTCTTCGAGAATTCCTGCAGCGGGGCTGTATGTGTGGCCTCAGGCTGGAGCTGAGTGGTGAATAAAGGCAGCGTGCCCAGTGTGTGTCCTTAAAGTTCAGAATTGGGAAGAAAAACACTGGTAGACTGAGTCCATGGGACAGGGACGAGTAGGATGCTGGCTTTGCCACCACGACTCCGTCTGCTTTCCCTGCTCTCTGCTTCCACATGTGTACACCGAGATGGGGTCAGGGAGCTCCGGGTTGCGGGAGGGAGGAGGAGGGACCTCCAGCTCTGCCTATGCTTGGGGAAGGGGAAGCTGAGTGATCTTGGCTGCGGAGGAGGGCTGAAGAAGTGGGGGGAGGTTGCTGGAAAGACCCCTGCCTCACAACCCCAGGAGGGAGGGGCTGAGCAGCTCTTCAGCGGAGACCCATGTTTGTAAACACCATTAATCAGGGATTAGCAGATGGGCATGCTAATTGCACCTATGGAAGTGAGAAACCTCAAGGTTGATTACATTTACAAACTGTGGGGATCCCCAGCACCTGGCCCTGCAGGAGTGGTGGTGGTGGGGGGTGCTGTCTAATTTAGGACCCCAGCCTAGGGAGAGGGGGGCTGACAATTTAGTCTCCTGCCAAAAAAATATCCCAGGCCTGCAGCAGGGATCTGGGGTGCTGGCCTTGGTTCAGCTGCTCTGGGAAACCAAGTCAGTGCCAATTCCTCTTAGACGCTTCCCATCTTGGCATCTCTGAGTCTTGGGGCCCTGAGGAAGGGGGCTCCTGCAAGTGTCATTCCAACCCCTCTCTTCCCTCACCTTTCTCCAGCAGTTCCCAGGGGGAAATCAGTGTGCACTGTAGCTGAAAGGGACCCCGGAGCCTACAGGGAAACTGAGGCAGGTTGGTTGGAGAGCACAGCCCAGTGCCCTGACCTCTAGATCTGGCCCCAGAGGCTTCCAGGAACAGCTACCATGCTCCTCCAAGCACGGGCCTGAGGGCTTTACAGGTATGGTCTCGTTCAGTCCATATCACCATCCTTTGAAGTGGAGACAGACCATTGTCATCCCCATTTTACAGATGATGAAAACTGAGGCTTGGAATTTAAGGGACATGTCCACCTTTATACGTCTAGCAAGCCACAGAGCTGGAACTCAAAGCAATCACTGTCTAGCTGCCAGGCTCCTGCTCTTAACTACCACTGCTCTCCCCTCTGACTTCATTCCAACTCTGCCCTGCAAGGAAGGGGTGGACCCCCACCCAGCCCCTTCACACCCACAGACACAGCCTCCCCAGCTCCTGTATACTTAACCCACACATGCTGAGCAGTGTCCACTCGGTGTACAGGCACTGCACCAGGCACCAGAGGCTGCTCAAAGGAGATTCAGACCTCATCCTCCTCATCCTTAGGAACTCAGGCCCTCCCTCTTTATTGGGTGACTGACTGTATAAAGGAAATGACCACACATTTATGTGTGCGTGGTCTGAAATTTATAGTCTCAACCCCCTTTGGTTTCAGTGAACCTGTCTTCCCAGAGGCCAGCCAGCCTGCAGCCCAAGGAGTGGAGCAGGGAGAAGCCCCTGTACCTGACTAAGCCCTGGAGAATTTTCTACAGGCCCAGACCACTGGCACATGGAAAGCTGATGCACAGCATGCCCAGGGCAGGTTAGATACGGTTCCAGCCACCCTGGAGGCATCTGTGGGTGTGGGGGTAGCTGAGTAGCCCCTACTCCAACTTCTAGCTTCTTGTTGGGTGAGCAGAGCTCAACTCTGAACCCATATGCAGGAAGCACTGGGATGCCTGCATTTTCATCAAGCATATTGGGTTTCTCCAGAGAACAAACCAACTGTGTGTGTGTTCAAGAGATTATAAGGAATTGGCTCATGCAATGATGGAAGTGGATAAGCCTCAACAGGTGCAGGGTGAGTCTGCAAGGTGGACGCCCAGGAGAGCTGATTTACAGATTGCAAAGGGAAAAAGAAGCATCAAGAGAGACTGAGGCTGGATGTGGTGGCTCACGCCTGTCATCCCAGCACTTTGAGAGGCCAAGGCAGGGAGTTCAAGACCAGCCTGGTCAACATGGCAAAACCTCGTCTCTACTAAAAATACAACAATTAGCTGGGTGTGGTGGTGCACTCCTGTAATCCACCTTTATATGTCTTTCAGCTGCTCAGGAAGCTGAGACCGGAGAACTGTTTGAACCTGGGAGATGGAGGTTCCAGTGAGCCAAGATCGTGCCACTGCACTGCAGCCTGGGCAACAGAACAAGACTCCGTCTCAAAAAAAACAAAACAAAACAAAACAAAAAAACCAACACATGGCTCCTTCTCCAGAGATTCTGATTTAATCAGTCAGGTGCCTCTGGGCTTCTGAAATCTTAAAAATATCTTCCTCCTTGACTCCAATGACAAGCTGAAGTAAAACGTCACTACACTAGGCTCTTGGCCAAGAACGAGGCAGGGAGGGGTCAGCGCCTGTGTGGTAGTCACAGACAGGGAGCTCACAGGGACAGATGCTGGTGATCAGTGGAGTTGATGAAGGGTTTCTGTCCTCTTTCTTGAGAGGAATAACTTTGACTTTAAAAATATCTTAGGCCCTTCCTAGGCCAGGTGCGGTGGCTCATGCCTGTAATACCAGCACTTTGGGAGGGTGAGGCAGAGGATCTCTTGAGGCCGGGAGTTTGAGACCAGCTTGGCCAATACAGTGAAACCCTGTCTCTACCAAAAAAATATAAACATTAGCCAGGCGTGGTGGAGCATCTGTAGTCCCAGTTACTCAGAAGAACTGAGAATCATGTGAACCTGGGAGGCAGAGGATGCAGTGAGCCAAGATCGCACCACCCCATTCCAGTCTGAGTGACAGAGTGAGACCCTGTCTCAAATAAAAAAGCAAGCTTAGGCCCTTTTTTAAACAACTTCAAGTGTTGCTCTAAATTGGCATCGCCATTAGAATTCTGAGAAAACTCCATTGCAGATGGATTACAGAGAAAAGGGGAGTTCTATGTATTGAGCACCTAACTCGTATGAGCCACCGAGTTCCCGTTGCCCTCCATATTCTCCCAACAATCCAGGAGAACTCCCCTTTCGCCCAGGAGGACACAGATGCCCAGGTGTGCCCAGGTGGCTGAGGAGCCTGCCGAAAGTCACACAGCAGTCAGGACTGCAATTTCGGGATTGCTACCCTTCAAAGCCAGGCTCCAGGAGGGGCAATTTCTGTCTCCCAGGAGCCATCCTACAGTGCGCAGGGTGGCTCTCACAACAAAGAATTCTCCAGCCCAAAATGTCAGGGGTGTGGAAGTTGAGGCCATTCGCCCTAGTGGTTCTCAGCCTTGGCTGCACGTTAGACCAATGGTGGTGCTTTCGACAGCCAGATGCCAGGTTGTGCCACACCCATCATGTCAGGCTCTCTGGTGTCAGCGTTGGGTTCTTTTTTAAAGCAGGCCAGGTGGTTCCAATGTGCCGCCAAGACAAACACTTCTATGTCACGCACACTGCAGGCTCCTGCTGCTTTTGTGGGAGCCAAGGGAGAAGCACCAAATCTGTTTCCGTTGCACAATCCACGGCAAGCCTGCCCCCAGGTCCTCCCCTTGAGGGGAACTGACTCCGTCACCCGTAGGGGTCCCAGTGGGGTGGGAGATGTTTGCTAATTTCCCCTGGCCTCTCATGGGGCTGCAGCCGGGAGTCTCCCCAGCAAGGTGGCTGTGGAAGCGGCCTGAAGACTGGACAGAAGAGCGAGGCTGCCACCTAATGGAGGAATAGGCCAGAATCTACCACGTGCTGGCTGACGTTTTATTTGAGCCTCACAACCCTGAGACAAGCCGAGGTAGCGAGCCACAGGAAGATGAGGCCTGAGCTCAGGGCTCCACGGTGGGGGCCGCGTGTGGTCCTGCGCATGCGCACTGTCTACCCATATCGAGGCCCCGCTCTCTCCACCCCCCACATTCTCACACACACATTCGCCACGGGCAACGACCGGCTCTAGAAGAACAGGGTCCCTGGGCTGGGCTGCCTGCCTCCCTGCAGGTGTCTGAACCTCCCCCCGACTTCCAGGCAGGGCCTGGGAGGACAGATTCCCTCCATGCTAGCCCATCATGGAAATCAACAAACTACCATATCCTACTACAGGTCCAACATCACGACAGGAAACAGCTTCTTCTGGCCTCCACAGCAGTCCCCTTCTCCCGGGCAGACTGTGGTCAATAAACATGGGCCTGATGCACACTCAGGCAGAGCCTCCTGCACACTGGAGCAGGCGATGTAGTCCCTGACTACAGCATGTGTACGTCGCGGACAGTCTGCCTCAGCCCTCATTTTGCCTCTTTCTCTGATCCTGAAGACAGCCCTGGGTGCTGAGCCACGCTGAGTCCTTTGGACCTGGCTGAGGATTCTTGGGGGTCTTGGAGAAGTTGCCTTCTCTCCCCCTCTGCGGGAAAACCCTTTCTCTGGCTGCAAATGGAGTGAAGAAGAATTCCTGCACAGACACAAGGAACAGAAAGAGAGACAGAAGAGGAGGATGTCTAGAGACTAGACATGTGCCAGGCAGCCCCTCATTTCACCAACAGGATGTATTTTCCCCATTTTGCACATAAAGCAACTGAGGCACACAGACAGCTGGCAAACGGGATTGGAGGGAATCCAATCCCACCTGTGTGATTAGAGGGAGAGGAAAGGGAAGGGGACAAGACGCACCTGCAACCACAGAGACGTTCAAGGACTCAAATCCCGGAGGCAGCTGGCGCCGGGGCAGGATGGTGAGGAGCAGCTGGCAGGAGGCCTGCACTTCCTGGGACAGACCTGAGCCCTCATTCCCTGCAGGGCATGGGGCCAAGGTTTAGGGCTGCCCAGCTGGACACCCAATTGCTCGGGAAATGTAATCTGAGCAAAGAAAAGCAGGGCCATCCACTTACCCAGCACAAGGAGAGTAGGCTGATCCCAGAGGAACTCCAAGGAGCTCGTGATGGGGATCTTGGAGGACTGGGGAACCTTAGGCCCTGGGCAGCCCACCGTGCCAGCCACAAGCCAGCCCTGCTGGGCTTTGGTCTGAAAGGAGGAAGAAGATATCATGTTCTATCTTTTGTTTCGAGACATTGAGACAGAGTCTCATTCTGTTGCCCTGGCTAGAGTGCAATGGCACAATCTTGGTTCACTGCAATCTCTGCCTCTTGGGTTCAAGGGAATTCTCCTGCTTCAGCCTCCCAAGTAGCTGGGATTATAGGCATGCACCACCATACCTGGCTAATTTTTTATTTTTAATAGAGATGGGGCTTCGCCATGTTAGTCAGGCTGGTCTCAAACTCCTGACCTCAGGTGACTCACCCACCTCGGCCTCCCAAAGTAGTGGGATCACAGGTGTGAGCCACCACACCCGGCCCTGATATCATGTTCTAATTCTTTTTTAATTTTAATTTTGAGAAAGGGTCTTACTCTGTCACTCAGGCTGGAGAGCAGTGGCACAATCACAGCTCACCACAGCCTCAACTTTCTGGGCTCAGGTGATCCTCCCATATCAGCCTCCCAAGTAGCTGGGACTACAGGCACTTGCCACCATGCCCAGCTAGTATTTGCATTTTTTTTTTTTTTTTCTGAGATGGGGTTTCGTCATGTTCCTCGGGCTGGTCTGGAACTCCTGGGTTCAAGCAATCCTCCTGCCTTGATCTCCCAGAGAGCTAGGATTATAGGTGTCAGCCACCTCGCCTGGTCCTCATATTCTAATTCATCCAATCTTCATCAGAGCCCGTGCACTGTGGCTCAAGCCAGTAATCCCAGCACTTTGGGAAGCTGAGGCAGGCAGATCACCTGAGGTCAGGAGTTCAAGACTAGCCTGGCCAACATGGTAAAACCCCATCTCTACCAAAAATACAAAAATTAGCCGGGCCTGGTGGCAGGCACCTGTAATACCAGCTACACAAAAGGCTCAGACACAAGAATCTCTTGAGACCGGGAGGCGGAGGATGCAGTGAGCTGAGACTGTGCCACTGCACTGCAGCTTGAGTGACAGAGTGAGACCCCATCTCAAAAAAAAAAAAAAAATCTTCAGTAGGACCTGATGGTTCACACCTGTAATCCCAGTACTTTGGGAGGCCGAGGTGGGTGGATCACCTGAGATCAGGAGTTTGAGACCAGCCTGACCAATATAGAGAAACTCTATCTCTACTAAAAATACAAAATTAGCTGGGTGTGGTGGCAGGTGCCTGTAATCCCAGCTACTTGGGATCCTGAGGCAGGAGAATTGCTTGAATTCCCCTCTCACTCTCTTGATCTCATAGCAGTCAGCCCCTCCTGTCACACTGAATCCAAGGCCTTGTCAAAGTCACCAATGGCCTCCATGTTGCTGCATTCCGGGAGGCGGAGGTTGCAGTGGGCTGAGATCGCGCCATTGCACTCCAGCCTGAACAACAAGAGCAAAAACCCATCTCAAAAAATTTAAAAAAGAGAGATGGGGTCTTGCTGTGTTGCCCAGCCTGGAGTATGGTGGCCAAATCACAGCTCAGTACGGTGTTCTAATTCCTTGGCACAAGCCATCCTCCCACTTCAGCCTCCTGAGTAGTTGAGGATACAGGTGCACACCATTGCACCCAATTTTTTTCTTTTTTTCTTTTTCTTTTTTTTTTGTAGAGACGAGGTTACAAAGGCTGCTTTTAAACTCCTGGCTTCAAGAAATCCTCCTGCTTATTCTCCCAGAGTGCTGGGATTATAGGCGTGAGCCACCTCACCTGGCCCTGGATCTCTTTTCCATATATGTTCATCTCTTATTGGTCTCATCTAGCCTCATGACTTTAAATACTATCTGAATTCAACCCCCGACACCCCCCAACCCCCCACCCCCACCAACTGTATATTCTAGGCTGGACCATGCCTCTGAGTTCCAGTTTCACTCCTCTACTTGCCTACTCCACAGTTGTTGTTTTGCTGTTAGGTGGGCATTTCAAACCTAACTTTTGTTTTTTGAGATGGAGTCTTGCTCTGTCAGGCTGGAGTGCAGTGGCAGATCTAGGCTCACTGCAACCTCTGCCTCCTGGGTTTAGTAGAGACGGGGTTTCACCATATCAGCCAGGCTGGTCTTGAACTCCTGACCTCGGCTTCTGCCTCCGAAAGTGTTAAGACCCCATCTCTTAACAACAACAAAACAAGATATGCTAGGACTAAACTCTAGGAAATGCTAATACTTGGATGTCAGGGGGTTGAGGAGAAACCACTAAAAATGTCTCTCAGAGAGGACATGGTGAAGCAGAAGGAAAGCTGGCGAAGAGTGTTTCATGGCGGAAGGAGTGGTCAGCTGTGCCAGATGCTGCAGATGAGTCAAGTCAGACGAGAATTGAGCACAGACCCTGGAAACCAGCAACATGGAGGCCACTGGTGACCTCGACAAGGCCTTGGATTCAGTGTGACAGGAGGGGCTGATTGCTATGAGATCAAGAGAGTGAGAGGGGGATGTTTGTTTGCATGCTGAAGAGAGTGTACAAGAAAAGTGGATGATGCAGGAGAGGGGAGGAAAATTACTAGAGTGGTGTCTCTGAGTAGGCAGAAAGGGACAGGGCCCCAGCACAGGTTCCTGTGTGGGGCACCTCCAGGTCTTCCATAGCAACAGGCGAATGACACTCTCTAGGTCAGATGCTGATGACAGTAGGGAGATGTGATGACTGGAGCTTATGCAGGTGTTCTGCAGTGTTTCTGTGTTTTCAGAGAATACGTGGTCAGGAGCTGAAAGTGAAGAGACAGAAACTCATCTCCTATCAGGCTTGGAGAAAGGGGCTCCTCACATAAAGGGGAAGCCAAAAAATGCTTCTAGAGATATGCTGCTCAATATAGTAGCCAATAGCTACATGCGGCTATTAAGCAGTTGAAAGGTGGCTAATTCAAACTGAGATGCATTGTATGTAAAAGAATTTTTAAAGGAATAGAAAATATTTCATTAATATTTTTAAAAGACTAGCACAGTGGCTCCCCTGTAATCCCAACACTTTGGGAGGCCAAGGCAAGTAGATCACTTGTCAGGAGTTCAAGACCAGCCCGACCACCATGGTGAAACCCCATTTCTAGTAAATACAAGAAAAAAATTAGCCGAGCATGGTGGCATATGCCTGTAATTCCAGTTACTTGGGAGGCTGAAGCAGGAGAATCCCTTGAACCCAGGAGGCAGAGGTTGCAGTGAACCGAGATTGAGCCATTGCACTCCAGCCTGGGTAATGAGAGTGAAAACTCTCTCTCAAAAAATTAATATTAATAATAATTAAAATGATTACATGTTAAATTTATATTATTTTGGATATACTGGATACAATTTATTTAAAATGTCATCTATCTCTTTTTACTTTTCAGTGTAGCTACTAGAAAAGCTAAAACTACATATGTGGCTCTCACTATATTTTTATTGGATAGCATTGTTCTAGACACGTCCCAGAGCTCTCTCCCTTCTTAAGAGGGAAATTTCTCACCCGCAGATGGGGTGGGACTGGGAAGCGCTTTGGTCAGAGGGGATTTCATATGCGGAGCAATACTGCCCCCTTGTGTCCAGAGAGGGAAGCACAGCTGAAGGCGCCTGGGAGAGGGGTTTCCAAGATTTGTTGCTTGCTAGATATTAACGGCATAAAGGTCTCCTTGTTCAAAGATCCTTTCAAGCTGTGTCCCTATTGGATGAACTCAGGCCTCCTGTCCACCAGCTCCCCACAGCTAAACAAAATGCATTTACTGAAGCCCGACCTAGTAGGCAAGGAGACACTGAGGCTGACTTACAGAAGAGGCAAAATGACGCACACCTGGGGAAGGGGTGCAGGAAACGGAACAACGCTAGGAGAATTCAGATAGTACTCCATTTGTCGTTTTAAAAACTCCAGAACCCTTCCCTCCCCAGAGGGATTTAGAAGGCCGAAAGAAGCGATGTCAACATGCCCCTTTCTCTCCCCCGCCAACTGCTAGCTGCGTCCCCTTGAAGAGGCTGCGCTGGGCTCATATCTGCTCTTTCCCCTCTTGCCCCTCATTACCTGTAAAAATCCGGTGAGATCATCAGTGGAGAATACGTCCATCACCTCCATAGCCCCCGCGCTGGCCTTGCTGACTACTGGAGTGAGCGGGCAGCTGCAAGGTTTCCCCGTTCCCCGCATTAGGATGGACCATCTCAAGCCCGGCTCCCTACCCTCCCCGGGCTCCCAAGGGCTAGGCGGGTGAGAGATCTGGGACATTTAAGTCTGGCTAAGGGATCACCCAAGGGTCAAGGTGCTTAGGAACTCGGCTGCGTCTCCAAGTTGGGGCACATGGAAAAGGGGGACGTCCGTGCCTGTTTTTCCGGCTGGTGATGATCTTATCCACTCCGAGGAAGTGAGCGCAACGCAGCACAGCCCCAAAATTCCGGGGATCCTGGATCCCATCGAGGACGAGCCACAACTGCTGGGGGTCATCGCCTGGGCTCGCCTCCCCTGCCTCAATCCAAGGCAGGGGCCGCAGCGGGCTCACCTCCATGCAAACACCCTGGTGGACCTGGTAGCGACACATTGCGTCCAGTTTCTGTCGTCTGGGACGCAGAACTGGAATGTCCCGCGCTTCAGCTAGACGGAGCACCTCGGCCCGCTCCCCCTGCAGCCCAGCTTTACCCGCCTGGAGCAGGAGCCGGGCCACGTAGCGGCGGGCGGCCCGCAGAGCCAGGAGACAAGGGGACAGGCCAAACAAAAGCTCCTGCCGCGAGGTCGGCACCAAGTCATCCAACAACAAGCGGCTTAGCTCGTCCCCACCAGGTCGCTCCCCACGCCGCGCTGCATGGGCGAAATGACGGGTGACGAGGCGACCCCAGGTCGCGCCCCGGATGGTTGAGAGCAGTCCCATGGCGCACTCCAGCCGGGGACTCGCCCCCTGCTGCGTCCCCGGGAGGGGTAACCCCCGCCAGAGTTCGCTCCCAGGCTCCCAACACAGGGGTGAAGGGTACTCGACAGCTGCCTCCGCCGAGCTCTCTCGGACAGGAACAAACCAACCCAGATTACCTACAACTAGACTACCAACCTACGAACACCCCTCCTAGGCTCCCACGTGTGTTCATTCACTTCCGGGTTCGGGAGGCCCCGCCTCTTCCTGGAGTTTTTTTTTTTTTTTTTTTTTTTTAGCATACGTCAGGCTGATCCCATAGCACCTCCTACAGGAGGCTAGAGGAGCGGCGACTTCCACCGCTTCGCGGCAGCCGTGGGAGGCGGTGCTCCAGGCTGAGCTGGCCCTACTACCGGCTGTGTCCTGTGCCCTTCGAGGTCCCAGGAGGCTGGGGACTGCATTCACCCACGCATCAGCGAAGGTCACTTTAAGGAGATGGCTTGGCCTTCCTGATCAACCAACTCAGTCTTTTGCCTCCCTCCCTACATCCCGGCGCTGGTGATTTTTCCCAGAACGTCTCACTAGCACGCAGGACCCCAACAGTCCCTTCCTATCCCGGGCCAATGATTCTCTTCTTAAGTGACTCTGAGCCTGTCGTGTCCCTGCTGACAAGCCCACTGATGCCCCCGTCCCACAGGTAATGGCCAGATTCTTTTGCGCAGCACTCACACCCCCAGTGATCCAGGAAGGCAGGAAGGAGCTGCCTCTTCAGCCCCATCTTGCTCCTGCACTTAAGTTCTGTGCTGTTGGCACAGCACTGCATGCTCTTCCAGGCCTCTCAGTCTTACAGACTGTTTTCTCTTTGACTTTGTCAAACTCCTACACATTTTCAAGACCTAAACAAATGCATTCCTGCTACTTAAGGTAATCCATACTCCCATGAGTGAGGCCCCTAATCCACCCAGCTTCCCACCTACCTGGAAGAAAGTCTGATACACAAGCACCCCTGATCACAGAGAATGGGAAAGAATGGAAAGACACTCCTGAAGCCAAGGCAGATTCGTTGGGATTTTTCTTTTTTAATGATCATCATGAAATTCACTGGGCCAGGCCCTGGTGTTCTGCTGCCATAGTCAGAGTGGAGGGATGACCCCACAAGGGGACAAGAAGCCAAGATTGGGCTGGAGAGCTGAGAAGGAGGAAGAGAAGGGGGAGAGGGGACAGTGGGCCAGGCAGAGGAAGTCTGGAACCCTGGATAACCACGAAGATATAAGGTGAGGGCCTCCCTCTGCCACCCCAGCCCCTGAGTCGCAGAGGTTGAGGTGCAAGAAGATGGGAGGGATTTTGGCCACAACCCATTTCCCAGGTCAAAGGGAAGAGACTGAGAGCAGAAAAAGGCCAAGGAGCCCAGGGGGACCAAGAACAAGTTAACAAGTAAAACAATTAAGGACACCACCTCCTTTCCCCAGCCCATTTTTCACATTTACAATGGAAGCAATTTGACAAGCGGATATAACAATCTCAGACAAATTTTCTAACCCCTGGCAGGGGTGTGGACAGCAAGTGGTATCCAGTGATCCAGAAATCAACACCTAAAATCCAGAGGCAGGAGGCAAGCCATGAGGGGTGGGGAGGGAAGGAAGAGCTCCCACAGTCACTAGGTCACCTGCTCCGTGGGCCTCATCTGGATGTCTCCGATCTGTGGAAGGCACAAGGCATGAGGCCCTGGGACACTCTCCCTGGCCCTGCAGGGCTCCCGGCTTCCTTCCTCTGGGACTGGTTGGGTTCCTCCAGTGAGTGGATAGTCAGGGCCAGACTCACCTGGACGTGTGGGGGGGTGCTGAGGACGTAGATAACAGCCTCGGTCACATCCTCGGGTTGGAGACACTGAGAGCACCGGGGGAATGGGTTGAGAGAGGACAAATGGACTCAGTTCCCTCCCACCACTGAGCTCCTCTGCAGCATCCACACACCCACCCAACCCTCCAGGAGGAGCCAAAAAGGCTGGAGGGGTGGAGTCTGAAGGCTGGGTTCCCTCTGCCTTCATTTAGGGAGTCAGTGGCTTCACCAGGCCCAGAGGGAGGCCCCACCTTCATGTGCTCATAGGTGGCAGCTGCCTTCTCAGGGTCCTTGTCGTGGAGTCTGAAGGCGAATTGTGTTTCCACAACACCTGGAGAGATGCACTGGGCCAACAAAAAGGGCCTGCTCAAGGGCTGAGCAGGAGAGGATGGGAGGGAGAGGATGGAGGCCACAGGGCCCCAGCTTCACAGTGATGGCTTCCCAGCATCCGGCAGCTGCCTCCTCCCTCCAAAGCTGCTGCTGGCAGAGACCACATAATACCTACCATCTACAGAGCCTTTCCTGTATGTCAGGTAAACATTTTACAAAAAAAGTGTCCCTTTTAAGGGACACTCATCATCTCCTTTTTACAAGTGAAGGCCAAGGCTCAGGGAGGTTCAATGACTCACAATCACACGGCCTTCAAGGGAAGAGCCCAGAGTCCCAGTTTCTAGCCACTGTGCACCTGGCTTCCCACAGTTCCTTACTTTCCCACCATGTACCCTCAGGCCACCCCGCTCCCAGCTCAAAGTCTAAGTCTGGTCTTTGGCTCCTGGATCAGTGAAATGAGGAAACTGAAGGGCTGCGCAAGGCCATGCCGAGAGCAGCAGCACCCAGTTCTGTGCCCAGTCCACTCTGAGGAGCTCTAAGCAGCACATTCTGAACATGGGTTTCTGAACAGTGTGTGTGGGTGAGGAGGGCCTGCGCCCACCCTGTCCCCACCAGGGCTAGGCCACAGCCTCACCGTGGCTCGGATGTGGGTCTGGGCCTCCCGAAGCTCTTGCCTCAGTCCCTCTGTCAGCGCAGTGACGGCATACTTGGTGGCACTATAGAAGTGGGTCACAGACTGGGGGACCACTCGGTGGCCAGACATGCTGGGTGGGGGGAGGAAGGGAAAAGAGGAGAAAATGAAGCTCCAGGGAGACCAGCAGTGCCCCTGCCATACCGGGTCAGCCCCAGCACCCAGATGCCCACAGTGGAAGCCTTCTAAAGGGGACCTCTAGTGGCCATCCCATAGTTCAGTCATCTAATTTTGGTTATTCAAGCAGCTTCGGAAAACCCTTTTTCCTGGAAGTTGTCCCTATGCTGACCAGAGAACGCACAATCCTGGTGGTGCAGAATGTCAAAACTCTCTCCGTCTAATCTGTATGTTCACTGATATGGTTCTACTGGGACATCTCAGGGCAGGCAGAGGCTATGTCCCACCTCAGACTGGGGCTCCCCAGTGGCAGACACTGTACATAGTCCTTCTTTGTACCATGAAGTGGGGTTTATCCCCAGGCCTGAGGAATAGAGGCGCTCAGTCCCAGGAGAGGGTCCAGGCTTCAGCTGTAGAAGGAAGGGGCCAAGCTGCCCATTCCAGCCAACCTGGGGCTGATACTTGACAACATTATTCTTTCCCTCACCATAATTGTACCATTTAGGTATTAAATCTGTTTTTTCCCACGAAGAAAACTGAGCTCCAAAGAGGTCAGGTAAGCTGCAGCATATTACCCAGCCTGGAGGGTGAGTGGTACCCATTGGCCACCTGCCCTCACCTATTGATGTTAATGATGTGCCCATCATCCACATTCCGTTCCTTCATGGACTGGTAGGCTTCCCGTGTGCAGATGCTGAGGGCCAGCACGTTCACCTGCAGGCCAGGGAGGGCAATGAGGTATCTCCACTCAGGCCCAACTGAGCAAGTGATGGAGCCACAGAGTGCTGGGGGCAGTGTGGCATTCTAAAACAATGTCCAGGTCCTCACAGAGACCAGCCACAGGCACAGGGCACCTTGTCTTCTACACGAGATGCCCCTCCCCCTAAAGCTGCAACCCCCATTTGATAGCAGAGGTAGCTCCTCACCTGGCTGACCCCCTAAGTTCCTGCAAACAAGAATGGAAACCCCTCAAACCCACTCCTAACCCAGGAGACTCTTGTCTTGGCCATCTCCTCTGAGAACAGTAGCACAGACCCTCTCATTCCATAGGGAATCATTTCCATTTCTTCCCCAAATACCCTACTCTCTCTTCTCTGCAAGAGTCTCTGGCCCTGCTCCCTCCTAAACAGCTCAAAATCCTTACCAAAATGGCTTACAAATCTCTCTCCTCTGGCACAGAGCCTAGCCTCTCCCCACCTTCCCTAGTTACTCTCTGCTCCTTCCCCATCCCCTCCCCGGAGATGACAAGTGGAGCAGAGAAGGCCTGACCCTCCTCCTTTCTATGCCTTCCTTTAACCTGGGTTCCATCTAAGACTAGGCACGGAGACTCTAGAGGGTCGGGTAACTTGCCACTCCTACTCCCTCTGACAGAAGTGACCTCCACATCCCCACCCTTCAGGGGGCAGAGGCCTGAAGGTGTGTCTACTGTGAAGCACCTGTGCAGCCCCACCCATTAGCCTCACCCAAAGGACAAGCAGAGATAAAGCTTTCAGCAGGTCCTCAGGCATCACCTCTAGGAAAGAGAGGGAGCCAGCAGATTTGATGTTTCTCTTTATCAGGTATAGGAGCCTGCCATGAGGAACAGAACACCGTTGGTATGAACCTGCCTTGGTGTTTGTGGCAGTAGGAAGAGATGGGTACCAGGACAGGGAGGTTTCCAGCCCTGTTTCTCATCTGCTTGGCCACGTGGGCTTGTGAGGCAGAGAACTCAGCCCCTGAGGGCAGGAAGAGTAGGAGAAATAGGTTCCCTGGGACTAAGTGAGTAAATTTCCCAGGTCTAGGGAATCAGGGGCAGAGAAAGAGAAGATGCCTTATAGTATGATCCTAATAAACTTAAATAATGTTTGAGCTGAAAGGAGCTGTAGGAATTTAATGTAAGTCCCTCATTTTACAGATGGGCAAGTTGAGGTCCAGATTGAGACCCATGTGCTATGGGTAAGGACCATGACTCTGATCTCCAAGAAGGCTGAGGGCTTCAGGTACATGGCTTCATTTCCTGGCCCAAACATCTATGAGGTGCTGAGTCTACTGTCAGCAGATATGAAAGGATCATGGGGAGAAAATAACATCCCATTCACATGCTGCTTCCAACTTCTCAGGATACTTTCATATCCTACTATCACCCCATCATACAGTCCAGAAGTTGGAAACCCATGTCCTGAAAGCTGGGTGTGGCCTGTGCATGGTTTCAAAACATTTTATTTTATTTATTTATTTATTTTGAGACAGAATTTCGCTGTTGTTACCCACACTGGAGTGCAATGGCGCGATCCTGGCTCACTGCAACCTCCGCCTTCTGGGTTCAAGCAATTCTCCTGCCTCAGCTTCCCGAGTAGCTGGGACTACAGGCGCGCACCACCATGCCCAGCTAATTTTTGTATTTTTAGTAGAGACAGGGTTTCACCTTGTTGACCAGGATGGTCTTGATCTCTTGACCTTGTGATCCACCTGCCTCGGCCTCCCAAAGTGTTGGGATTACAGGCGTGAGCCACCGTACCCAGCCTCAAAACATTTTAAACACCCTTCCAACATGTATTGGAAAGTTTCATTTATTCAGTAATTATCTTTTGAGTGCTTATGGGACCAAGCTATACCAGAGAATAAAACAGATGAAAATCCTTGCCCTCATGGAGCTGACATTTTAGTGAATGGAAGTCAAGGGGGTTGTCACATAAAATTGGACTCCTCACTTCTCTCAAAGAAATCATAAGATCAGGCCACACAGGGCCCACGTCACCATACAGCAACTCTGCTGGATTTGAGCAGTGGCTGTGTGCTTTCCCACACACTGCAGGCCCCACCTGACCTCCCTCACTCCTCTATGTACCTACCTGGCTCCAGGGGACATTGGAATTTGTGACCCCAGATACCGATGATACAGGTGTGTTCATCCCAATTAAATGTGACAAGACTGAAGCTCAAAGAAGGTAACTAACTACCTGAAGTCACATAGTTACTAGTGAGGCCGGGTAAGAATATCATCTCTTGTCTCTCTCTTCCTTTTCTTCCCGTAACATCACATTCCCAAGCACCCAGCACAGAGCTTACATGTGGGAAACACTCAATAGGCAGCAGTTCTCTCCCCTAACAATCTTTCTTCCAACACAAGGAAATCAGTCTAGACTTTAAGAACTACCTCCAGGTCGGGTGCAGTGGCTCACACCTATAATCCCAGCACATTGGGAGGCTGAGGTGGGAGGATCACCTGAGGTCAGGAGTTCAAGACCAGCCTGGTCAACATGGTGAAACCCTGTCTCTACTAAAAATACAAAAATATTAGCCAGGCAATGATGGTGGGTGCCTGTAATCCCAGCTGCTCGGGAAGCTAAAGCAGAAGAATTGCTTGAACCCAGGAGGCAGAAGTTGCAGTGAGCACATATCATGCCACTGCACTCCAGCCTGAGTGAGACAGCAAGGCTCCATCTCAAAAAAAAAAAGAACTACCTCCAGGGGCTCAAAAAAGAGAAGAGCCGATATGGCCATTCATCCAATTCCTATCCCTCTGGTAGGGCAAGAAGGCAGGAGAGAGTCAAGATGCCGCAGGTGGGAACCCAAAACTCCCTCTTCCTAGATGACCTGTCCCCAGCAGCCCTCGGTTCACAAACCCCTGGCTCCCCACCCTCCTCTCCACCCTCCACCTGGAAGATGGAGGCCTGGAGCTCTTACATTGAGCATCTCCTTCCAACCGCTGGTGCTGCCTGAGAGCAGGGAGTCAGGCCGGCCCAAGCCGGCATTGTTGATGCAGATGTCTACGCCACTGTGCTGAGAACGGATAGCCGAGAACATGGAGAGGATGTCCTCCTCATTTGACAGGTCACATCTGTAGGGGATCAAAGTCCCGGGGTAGCCTGCACTCTTACATTCAGCAGCCAGCTCCTATGAAACCCAACAAGGGTCTGACTGGGGTGAGCAGCTCATGCCCACAGCTCCCCAGCCAGCATCAGACCCCCATCCCCACCACACTCTTAAAATACACTCCTCTGGCAGCTGCCTTTCAACCATGGAGATGTTGGACTGCCCATCCCCTAAGTTTGTCCTCTTTGGTCAAAGTCCAAGGGGTGACAGCACTCCCTGAGTGACGGAGGGAAAAGGTTGTGATCAATGGAGAAACCTCACTATAAACTCAAGTTCTGGCTGGGCACAGTGGCTCATGCCTATAATGCCAGCACTTTGGGAGGCAAAGGAGGGTGGATCACTTGAAGTCAGGAGTTCAATACCAGCCTCGGCTAACTTGGTGAAACCCCATCTCTGCTAAAAAAAAAAAAAACAAAAATTAGCTGGAGTGGTGGCTACTTGGGAGGCTGAGGCAAAAGAATCACTTGAACCCGGGAGGTGAAGGTTGCAGTGAGTTGAGATTACCCCACTGCACTCCAGCTTGAGTGACAGAGCAAGACTCTGTCTCAAATAAATAAATGAACTAAATTTATAGGTGGAGCAGGGGCCAGAGATCTAGGGAATGGAGTGCTCTCTCTTTTCTGCCTCTTCCCCAACAGGAACACCTCTCGTGCCCATAAATAAGATACACCTCTCTGCCACTACATGCTTCTCCACCAGTGCCAAGAGTCACTGGACTGGTTAACCTGGCCTCTTCTCCTGCATTGTGTCAGCCAGTCCTTCATCTCTGAAATATTCCCCTCCCCTCACAAACTGCGGCCAGCTGGCTCAGAGTTCTCACACATGCCTTTCAAACAAGCCCAGCTGCCAATCTCCTCTCCCTACCTAAAGGAAGGGTCAGAAAGTCAGGACAGAGTCTTTCTCTCTGAGTCCCGGTGCACCACCCTCCCCTCCACGGTTTCTCAGGAGCCTATGAGGCAAGTCAGGTGGCAGGTGCCACTGCGCACCCCCTGTGCATCTCCAGGCCCTCAGCATGCTGAGAAAGACCTGAGGAAGCAGAGGCACTGACAGGCACCCCAGGGGGAAGCTGACATTCAGAAAAAGGAAGAAAACATGCTCCGTGGCCTTCCTTGGAAGCCAGTGACTGAGCACTTGAGTCTTGTGAAGGTGACTGCATACAAGTGGGCGAGGGGGAGGGGGTGCAGGCTGCCCTAGAGGAAGGCCAGGTTGGCCAGCTGCTCTGGCCTGGAGCCCCTTCCTCCTCCCAAGCCCATCCAGGAATAATGGACTGGATTGGGTGTCTTGGGACATTCTTTTTTGCTTTAACTTTCTGTGAGTTCAAAAGGTATAGTCCTCTGAGACTCAGAAACCCCACTTCACCAGATTTTACCCATGTTTGATCACTTCAGGAAACAGGAGTTTTCTCTGTAGGAAGCTAGTACCCAAATTCTGCTTCAACATCAACTAATCAATCAAAGCCGAGAGTGGGTAAGGAAGCCTGCAGTTCTCCCCTCCCCGGCACACATCTTCCCACTTCTTCCTCTAGACTCTAAATTCCCATCACAGGAAAGCCAGAAGGGATGGGCTCAGAATGGATTTCTCCTTGTCACTGCCTTCCCGTTGCCCCACCTGTGCCCCTGATCTCCCTACCTCCCCTCAGTAATGATCTACAAAATCATGTCACTCCCTCACAACAGGGGCATTCTCCTCTCAGACACGGAGTCTCCCTGGGACTGAGTGACCAGCCTGGGGATCTCCTTGGGGCTCAGGTCCCCCCCATCCTGCCTAGCTTGCAGTAGGGGAGTGGGTGACAAGGCATAGGGGCTTCAGAATTAGGGAATCTGGTTGTTTAATCCTGGCCTGATCCTCTGGGCTCCAAGGCTGGGGTTGGGTCCTGAGCTCCTCAGAATAGGATAAAGGGAGGGCAGAGTGGGGCAATGATGGAGCCAGGTGACCTTGGGATTATCTGGGTTATAAAGTGTACCTTTGGTCAGCAGCAGGGGAGGGGACAGTCCTCCTTCCTGTATACCTTCTCCCTGTGCCTCCACCCAAGGCTTCCTTACCCTTTCGCTGCCTGGGGACTTTGAGCACGGTGGAGATAAAGGCCTGCAGCTGAGCACTATCCCAACACCGAGCGTGAGCTAGCAGGGCACATCCAGAGAGAGCCTAGGACAGAAATTCCTCCCTGCTCCAAAATGGCCATCTTGATTGTTCTCTGAGCTCTGAGGGCTCCCAACCCCACATCATGAGAAAAGTAAGGAGTTCCAGGCTGCTTTATCTTCTCAAGCTTTCCAGCCTATTTCACCCACTCTGTCCCCCCAAGGAGAGTGGAGTAAGGCCCACCAATGAATATTCCATTCATTCCTCATGCCACGGGGCACAGGTTATCCCACGGTGAGGGGACGGGGCTGAGGCTGTTCAGTCAAGCTCCCACCACAACCCCACCCTCGGTCTTGGGTCAGAATAAAACCTCTAGCTCCTGTTCATCTGGTTGGCCAGCCACCTTATCCTGCTTGGTGAGTGACTTCTGGGGACTAGAGGCAGCAACCTTTCTCGCCCCAGGCCCACTTAACCACAGAGGGCGAGAAGGCCACAGGGGTGAGACCACCACCCCCGACCTCCAGCTTCCCCTTTCCTCGGGCCAATACCCTGAGCAGACGCGAGAGGCGGGAGGGGAGATGCCGGGGTCGGAGAATTGTAACTTGAGCAGGTGTTGTCGGGGAAACGGCTCCTTCAAAGACGAGACTTGGGTGAAGGGGAAAGCCTGCCTTAAGGGATCCGAGAGGCCACCCCGACTAGAGCAAAGGGCCCCGACGTGGCGGGCAAGTGAGCCCGACCCCGCGGAAACGACCCGCCCGCGACGTCCCCGCCCCGGACCTGGCCTGGCCTCACCTCGATGTTGCCCACGGTGCGGGCGCAGCCCACCACCTTCAGTCCCTGCTGGACCAGGGCCCGGGCCACGGCCGCGCCAATGCCCACTGAGGCTCCCGTCACCAGCGCCAACCGGTCGCGCCACCGCTCCATGCCGCGTCTGGCCATGGGCCCGCGCCGCCCGCTCGCCTCGCTTGGCGAGCCCGGAACTGGGGTCGAGGAAGTGACGCCCGGCAGCTTTCCGGCCGCCGCAGCCGACCTGATCGCGTCCGACCCGCGCCGCGAACCACCAGCGTCCCGGCCTGCCTCCGGCTGGGACTCCACCCTCAAGTCCTCGGCGACCCGCCGCATTCAGTCGGCGGCCGCACCGGCCCGGCCGCCCCGCCCACTGCAGGAGGTCTCCGCCCCTTCCACGCCTCCGGCCGCAGACAGGCCCCGCCCCTTCCGCCCGGTCCCGGCGCAAGGAAACCCGGTTGCGCTGCTTCACCCGAGAGCGTTTCTCTTTGGGGGCAGGAAAACCGAAGTTTAGCGGGGGCTTCCTCCAACCGCGAGGGCGCATACTCAAGCATCCCGCTTAGTCTCCCTTCCCTACTCCTGAACCCTAATGCCAGGATGAGGAATTAAGGGTACTTAAGGTGACTCCAACACCCTCCCAAACCCGCCGATGGCTTTTGAAAAGGGATTCGGCCCATAAACGCCGTGTCTCCGCCATCAACGCTGGGTGACCTTGGGAAGGACTCGCTCACCCTGCCTGATCTCTTGGCTTTACTAGCCACAGAGAACTGAAACACGGGTCCCAAGTACACGTGTACTGGGGGATTCTGTCCCTAAATGGCCCACTGTGTCCAACTGCCCTAGACCCCCACGCTCACTCCTCCCCCACTGTAGCAAATGTATCAGGATATATGCCAAAGATTAAAACAGTATCTAACATTTCTTGCTTACTGTGTAGCAGGCACTTTAAATATAGTAACTAATCTGCACAACCTCTCTTAGCACATACTAATATCTTTTTTTTTTTTTTAATGACGGAGTTTCGCTCTTGTTACCCAGGCTGGCGTGCAATGGCGTGATCTCGGCTCACCGCAACCTCCGCCTCCTGGGTTCAAGCAATTCTCCTGCCTCAGCCTCCCGATAGCTGTGACTACAGGCGTGCACCACCATGCCCAGCTAATTTTTGTATTTTTAGTAGAAACGGGGTTTCACCATGTTGACCAGGATGGTCTCGATCTCTTGACCTCGTGATGCACCCGTCTCGGCCTCCCAAAGTGCTGGGATTATAGGCGTGATGACCCAGCCTATTATATGACCGCGCCCGGCCATACTAGTATCTTAAAAGATGAGTATACTGATGTGCTGAAGCATGGTTTGGACCACAGGTAGTGCAGTTTTAGGCCAGTGATATGCTTCTAAACAGTCTTCATTATCGCTTCTTGAGTTGTTGGTCTTGTTCAGAGTAGAGCTCACTTTGCTAAAAAGTGCTGAAAACTGCGTAATACAGCCATTCTCTTAAAGAAAAAGCATCTTTGAATAAACCTGACTGCTGCCCAACAATGGAGTAAACAGTGAACGTAGCTGGTTTATTCATTCGAAAACATGCATCGCCTATCCTGTGTTTGGCCGCAATGGCAAAGATTAAAACTAAACTAAATCAGCCTTTGCTTTTAGGGATCTCAAAAGAACATCTGACTGTAATGGTGAAGAGGGGATTCTCCCCTGAGCCAAGGGCTGTGGAAGACCCACAGTCATTTTTTATAGATTTTGGATGAAATGAAAACGGGTCTGAGAGGAGTCCTTTTTACCTCTGCGCATTCCTATACAACATTTAGGTTTGAAAGACAACTCGGGTGTTGGATCCAAGAAACGGCATGGAGTATTAAAATTCAATCCAAGTTTCTGCTGCTGCCCACTTGAAATCTAACTAAACAGCACATAAAATTCACTCCACCTCCACTGCACAGGACTGTCCCACGATTTGTATGCTGCCAAGTATTATAAACATGTAGACACAAATCTCTAAGCATCATGTGTCTATTGAGCTATTTGACTCCATCTTTTAAATAGCAGCAAAATGCTACTCCTGGTGGGGGGGGGGGCTCTCTCCTTCAGTGCCAACAGCTGTGACAGCAGTAAACTGTAAGACCACAGGGGCTTTGTTACTGGACACCAGATAAGGCTGAACCTCACATGCACTTAGCCCAAGCCCATAATGTGGTTAACTCTCAGTGCAGCCTTCTGATCCCAGTCTTACATGTTGAGCAATTACTTATCCGGCAGCCCTTGGTTGAAATTCTGTCAAGTTTTGTTTTTATTCTAGGTCAATATTAACCTCTGAATTTAAGAAGTACTTTGTGTATGTATTAGGGAACTTTAAGTGTTAAGCAATTAAAGTCTCATGGGAAAGTAAGGTGCTAGCAAGTATTGAAAGGTATTGCAGTAAATTTATCTCTTCAAACGAAAAAGACTGGAAACTGCTTTTCTCAGTTGTCAATTCTCATCAAAGGAAGAATTTTGTCTTCAACAATCTGTATCTCTGTCTCATCCTTTTCCTACCATCAACACTAGCCAAGCACCAAGTCCACAAGTGGCAAATACTAAAATGCTGCCATACATCAAGTAGAAACATGTACACCCAATTTTACTGTGCGTATTAATAAATATGCTTTATTTTAAATTTTGCACATTGCGCTTTAACATTACATCCAAACATTTCGCAAGTGGATGTCTACTTTGTAAAACCATATATTCAGCTCATTGTCATTTCTGTACAGAATTATAAGTACAACATTACTTTTTGCCACTAAGTTGCTTTAGTAAGTCTCACAGGAAGAGAAACATTTAATGAAAAGAGATGGCTTAAATCATATGGCAGGCCTGTGCAGCCACGCAACTAAAGACACAAGCCTGAAGAAAGAACAAACTAATGAGGATACCTCCACCGACTCCCAAAACAAGAAAGAATCACATTTAAGATAAAATTTTGCTATAAGTCACTAAATTAAGAGTTTTTCGAAAGAGAAGGCGCAGTAGTCATCATGAGTGTTTCATTGAAAGACAGAGTATTTTATTTATTTAATTTGCTCCAGCCGTTGTCAACCAGCCACTACAAATGGGCCTCTTGTGATCATTTAAGCGGCAGTATTTATTAAATTTCTCCTTCAGATGCTGTCGGTATTGTTCTCTATTGCTGTAGAAAGACTGGTTATTAGCCATAAATGACTGTATTTCATCTTGTGAGATAAAGATTTCCTCATCTGAAGTACATTCAGACTCATCCTGTAAATTAAAGCAGTAGTTAGGACTATGACTTAAGAATGCAAAATGCTAGGTCATGGAGGAGGACAGCTAAAAATTAAAGCAGTCTAGCTTTTTAGTTTCAATTCAGTCACATAAAGCCTTTAAATGGAGTGTTTGCAGAATAAACATCATGTCATTTGTCTAACAAAGTATCTGGAATGTATAATTTCTCCTAGAAGCCTATGAACCTAGCAAACTACCATCATACCTTGGCCTTAAAAAAAAAAGATGTTACAACTAGTTACACCACATTTTAAGTGGCTAAACTTATCTCTAGCTAGCCCTACCATGTAACATCCATCTCTAATAAACATTTACAAACTAAGTAAAAGACAACCATTTTTAAGAAATACGTTACACAGCATCACCATTAAACTTTTACAACCATTAAAACTTTTTAAACATTAAACTTATACTGGCAGGGCTCACACCTGTAATCCCAGCATTTTGGGAGGCTGAGGCATGAGAATCGCTTGACCCCGGGAGGCAGAGGCTGCAGTGAGCCAAGACTGCACCACTGCAGTCTAGCCTGGGCAACAGAGCGAGACCCTTCAAAAATAAAAAACTAGTATTCCAAAGGATTTCTTCATCAGGACTCTAATGGAAAAAACACCACTTTTCTTCCTCTTCCCCTCCTCCAAAGGCCACCTACACTATGCACTGGATCAGTTGGAAACAGGTAAAACATCTCAGGAATTGAAGTCTTATCCTACATGACACCTAAAAGAAAGCATAGTATATGCTAGTTCAGAAAGTATATTCTTTCTGGTCTGGAAGGGTGGCTACCATAAATTGCCAATCAGAAAGGCCAAGTTTGCTTACAGTAACCTGCTTCAAGAAGGCAGACTCCTGAACAAAATGCTACCTCTATCTTTTCTCCCAACTACAGACGGTCCTCACTTACAATGGTTGCACTCGGAATTTTTTTTACTTTACACTGGGGTTTATTGGGGTGTTGAATGTATTTTCAACTCAGCAATATTTATGAGTTATAATGGGTTTACTGGAATGTAACCCCACTGTAACTCAAGGAGTTCCTGTAACGTCTTCTACTGAGAAAGAGGCGGCCATGGAAACGTGTTCCAGAGTAGTTGTATAAACCATAAGTGGAAGGGCAGAAATGAAGTCCCCAAAGAATAAGGAAACACTATGCTTAATTTCTCTTTCTTTTCTTTTTCTTTCTTTCTTTCTTTTCTCTCTCTCTCTTTTTTTTTTAGACAGAGTCTTGCGCTGGAGTGCCTCACTGCAACCTATACCTCTCAGGTTCAAGAGATTCTCCTGCCTCAGCCTCCCAAGTAGCTGGGACTATAGGCGTGCCACCATGCTTGGCTAATTTTTTTTATTTTTTAGTAGAGACAGGGTTTCACCATAGTGGCCAGGCTGGTCTCGATCTCTTGACCTTGTGATCTGCCTGCCTCAGCCTCAAGTGCTGGGATTACAGGTTTGAGCCACCAAGCCGGGCCCCCTTAATTTCTTAAAAGCTTCCTTCCACTACCTACCTTAAGCCCTCAAATACTATCCCCTCCCACATTCACCCCATTCCTGAACAATGATGTACAATAAGACCTCATGGAATACTTACAAGGAGTTCAACTAAGCTCTTGGCACCTTTTCTGGAATCAGGACCAAACAATGTTTCTGTAGGTTCTGCAAGCTGTGGTACATTTTTTCTATGTTCAAACCAAGGCAGTGGCTGCCCACCCTTTTCAGAGCTGCAACAGCTTTCAGGATGTGTATCTTTGGTCTTGTCACGGTGAAACACTGTGTGCGTGGTATTTCCTGAGGTCTCTCGATTACCTGGATCTGTAATACAGCTTCCAAGCTTCTGGATCTGATACCACAGCAAAAGATTTCACAGGTTAAAAGGCATGAAATAATAGCAGTTATTCTTTTTTTTGAGACCGAGTTTCACTTTTATTGCCCAAGCTGGAGTTGCGAGGCTCACTGCAACCTCTGCCTCCCAGGTTCAACCAATTATCCTGCCTCAGCCTCTCGAGTAGCTGGGATTACAGGCATGTGCCACCACACCCAGCTAATTTTTTGTATTTTTTTTTTTTTTTTTTGAGGCGACATTTCGCTCTTGTTACCCAGGGTGGAGTGCAATGGCACGATCTTGG